GCAGCACTGATATACAGCGCCTACATGGCCCCGGAGAGTGGTGATGAATCTAGATGGCCTGGTTAGCCGCTGAATGATGGTGAAACATCCGATATCACGACTTACTTTCCGTCCCGTCCATTCCAAAGCTTCACATGGTTGTCGAAACCCGCCGAGGCAATGTAGGCCATGTCTGGAGAGAACGTGACATGGTTGACCTCCTTCTGGTGACCTAGCAGCCGCGCGACAGGTTTGGTAGAGTTTTCGGGGTCCCAGAGATACATGGTGAAATCGTCACTGGCCGATACCAGCTTCTCGACGATCTTATTGTTGACCGTGGCAGCCTGTTCAAAGCGCTTCTTCGCTGCAGCCACCTTCTCCGTGTCCGACGCTGGAACCTTACCGGTGTGGTCATGGTAGGCTGTTCGGAGAGCGAAGTCTGTTGACAACGCCAGGTGATTCACGCGATGCGCGTGGGCTGATAAAGTCTGAAGCAGCGAACCATTCTGTGCGTTCCAGATCTTGATCGTTCTATCGTGGGAAGAAGTGTAGATCTTTCCTGTCCCACCCCAGCGTACGCAGGTGACCGAGCCCTTGTGTCCGGTGAGGACAGTGTCAATCCTTTTTCCAACCACATCCCATATGCGGACCGTCGAGTCTTTCGACGCGGACGCTAAGCGAGGCCTGCCCGCTTCCTGCGTATGATAAGGCTCCCACGCCAGACTGGTAATCCACTTCGCATGGCCCTTAAGTGGTCCTCCTAAAGCTGTTCCTTTTGCCGCATCCCACAGTCGCACAGTGTTATCCATACTTCCAGTTGCGATCATTGCTCCGTTGGGCGAGTAGGCTACAGCTAAAACCCAGCTGGTGTGGCCCTTGAGCGTATGCTTGGGAGTTCCTGTGTCGCAATCCCAGATCCGCGCTGTCGAGTCACCGCTCCCCGAGACCATGGTAGACGAAGAGACTGGGGAGAAGGAAGTCGCGAGAATCGCCTCTCCGTGTCCGGCGATCGAAGCGGAGCATCGCGAAACAGCTTTCACCCGGAAAACGGCCTGCGGCGTGAAATAAAGGTGGATGGTATCTTCAGTAGTCTTCAGTCCTGGCTTAAGTAAGGAGTGATACAGGTCTGCCAGAATATCGATTGTTTGGCCATCTTTGTCGTCGGACTGGTAGGTGAATCGATATGGTACTCGTTCGTCATCGTCCTAGATTCAACGTACAGTGCTTTAGTTTCGAGATTCTTTCGTAATTGATCATCCCTGCGTACCTACATTGCCCTGTAGTGTATTCAAGAGAGTCTCGAGATTCTTAATGTTGGCATCAGCCACCGGAACGGAGACTGAAGGCCCAGTTGCTGACCCGGTTGCTTGATCAAAGAATTGTACTCGGACGCTTCCCAGGTTGTCCGGGATGCTCTCGATTTCCTGCTGAAGTCGTGCCTTTTCGGCGGTCTCCAGCTTTTGGCGCTTGCTCGGAGGGGGTACAAGAGTCGCCATCTTGTCAAAAAGGGATTATTATTCGCAATTTCTATGGTTGTTGTCTTGAGCAATAATCCCGACCCTCAAGAGAAAAAAATTCATCGAAATTCCTTATCGCGGGGTGGAGAGCTGCGCTAAACCGGATATGGATAACTCCCCTTATCGTATACAACAGCAGTTGTCCGAAGTACACAATCCTCCATTCTCCTCTTCCGGTTCCTTTGCTCGCTTTTCTCGATGATGGTTTCCTATTGATTGTTAATATTGCGAGGATGACGAGATCATGGTCTCATGTTTCATCCTTTGGGGAGGCTGGTTCTTTTGCAGCTCTTACCTCTAGACAGGATAGTGACCGACCCCGGACAGCAAGGCCAGCCACAACTGCTACAAGTATTGCATCTCAGGACATCATATGTGCTATCAGCGAGTCTAGAGGAGTATCGTCAACTGTTGGACTTGCATTCGTCAACCTCTCAACAGCGGAAACAGTTTTATGCCAGATCTGTGACAGTCAGACCTATGCCAAAACGGTCACCAAGATCGCTGTTTTTGAACCCACAGAGATTCTTTTCATGAGCTCTGCCAGAGAATCCAAACTCTTTTATATCATCCGGGAAAACATCCCAGACACTACTTACACGTTCCTCGACCGCAGGTATTGGTCAGAGAAGGCTGGTCACGAATATGTGGATCGCCTGGCGTTTCCGCAAGATGTTGAAACAATCAAAATCACTCTTGGAGGAAACTACTTTGCATCGTGCTGCTTGGCTGCTGTAAGTCTTGTATTGATAGATTCTAAGTGCCATGACTCTGATTCCAGCAGGTGCTCAAGTACATCGAACTCGAGCTTGACCGGGTATTTACATCACATTCTCTGCGAATCAGATTCGAACCTTCTCAAGGCTCCATGTCAATTGACTTGTCCACCATAACTTCACTCGAATTGATTCAGAATCTTCAGAATGCAAAGTCGGAGGATAGTCTCTTTGGCCTGCTCAATGAAACTTTGACTCCAATGGGTGCCAGGCTCCTTAGGGCCAACATTCTGCAGCCCTGTACAGATATTCCGAAGTTGTTGGCAAGATACGACGCCGTCGAAGATCTCTCAACCAAAGAGGATATGTTTATCTCTGTCAGACAAGGTCTGTTCCAGTTTGATCTGATCTGTTCAAATAACACTGATCTCTGAGTGCCCCATAGCCCTGAAAGGTTTCATCGATGCAGACAAAGTATTGACGTCTGTCAGTTCCCTCGCTCTATAGTACAGATACTAGCCATGGCTGACATCGCAGCTCATCCTCGCTCCCACAAAACGCACCTTTCAATACGTGGAGCAATCAGTCAACAACGTCATCATGCTCAAAACGTATGTATCATCAATCAAGTCAATATATAAAGCACTTGCGACAGCTCAGAGTAGCCTTCTCATGACTATACGAGAGGTATATCCTGGCCCAACGTATACTGTCTGCTGACCCACTGACGCCTGTCAGTTATGTGCTCCAGCAGGCCACCGAGCAATAGAACAGCTTGTTGAAGAGACATTGAATGAACATGTAACGTACCAGACCAAGCCACTTGATCTTAGAAATCAGCGTATATACTGCGTCAGGGTATCTTCACTCTCGCTGCGGACCGTATATCATTGACAGAAGCTAACGACCACCTCGCTGCAGGCCGGAGTCAATAGTCTCCTCGATGTCGCGCGGCAGACATATAAAGAAGCAAATATTGATGCCGCGGACCTCGTGGCCAAACTATCAGGTACATTGCAATAGTTCTACTTTCTTCTGGTCGATATTAATGCCTGTCCTTTCACAGAATCGCTCAACTTCAATCTAGACCTCAAATTCGATTCGGCTCGTCAGTATTATATCAGTGTGTCCGCTTCGGAGGTAAAGACTCTCCCAGAAATCTTCATCAACATATACCGCAGGAAAAACCGCATAGAATGCCAGACCCTTGACCTCGTCAAGCTAAACCAGAAGATCATAGACGCGCATAATGAGGTCATCAACATGAGTGATCAAACGATTCAAAGCCTTATCAACGATGTCTGCTCGGAAATATCCGTCCTTTTCAAGGTGAGCGAAGCTATAGCCATGCTCGATATGCTTGCTGCTTTTGCGGAGCTTGCCACATGCAACGAATACATCCGGCCTGAATTGACGGATGTGCTCGCCATCAAATCCGGACGACACCCGATTCGTGAAAAGATCCATACGAAGAAGTTCATTTCCAACGACGCTTATGCAACGCAGCAATCGCGTTTCCAGATAATCACTGGCTCGAACATGAGCGGAAAATCCACTTATATCCGCTCACTTGCACTGATGACTATCATGGCGCAGATTGGCTGTTTCGTTCCAGCAGAATATGCATCCTTTCCGGTAATGCACCAGCTCTTCGCTCGGGTCTCTACATCAGACGATCTCGAGGCTAATGTCTCAACCTTCGCCGCGGAAATGCGCGAGATGGCGTTTATCCTCCGTAATATCGAGCCGCGGAGCATGGTGATTGTGGACGAACTCGGCCGCGGCACAAGTACGACTGATGGCCTTGCAATCGCCATCGCCATTGCGGAAGCTCTCATCGAAAGTCACGCCCTCGTCTGGTTCGTTACGCATTTCCGCGACTTGGCTTTGATCCTGGCGGAGCGCAGCGGCGTGGTCAGTCTCCATCTGGCCGCGGAAATATCACCGGACATATCTCAGATGGTTATGCTTTACAAGATCGCAGAAGGTCCAGACACAACGCAATTCTACGGTCTTGCGGTGGCAAAGCTCGTGGATCTGCCGCCAGGTGCGCTCGAATGTGCTCAGGCGGTATCGGAGAAGTTGAACAAGATAGCACAACGCCGGCATAGCAGGTCCAAGGCGCTCATGCTATCACGTAAGCGTAACCTGCTGCTTTCGTTGAGAGAGCAGCTTTTACAAGCGCGCAACGGAACACTGGAAGGGGACGCTCTTCGAGAATGGCTGAAGGAGTTGCAGGACAATTTTGTACTGCGTATGGCCGCCATCGAAAACGAGACGGCTGAGATGAGCGATGAAGAAGTCGATAATGATCCAGATACTGTTCCGGCCGAAACTGCACAAGATAACTTTGGACATCCGTCTTCCCAGGAGTGTGCTGAAGGTGCCTCTGGGGATGAACCACAAGCTGCCATTCTGATCTCATCAGCTTCTAGGGAGTCAGTAACAGATCCCTCTTCACAGGAAATGTCTCACGATGAGACCCCAGCGCACTAATGATGGCTCTGATCAAACACGGGCACAGCGAAACTAATTATATGACAGGTAGCCACGTTGCATGTTAAGATCTGTATCATAAGTAGCCGCATAGTATTTCACATATCTTACTTGGCAGACTCGTGAAGGCAACAATGAGATTCTTAAGGTCTAGCTTCCATTGCTCTAGTTCCTATGTAACTCCTTCTTACTTGACAGAACACTGCATACCGTTTTACGCTATCAAAATTACCTCTAACACAATATGTAACCGCTTAAATACGAATCTCAGACCTCAACATAGACAGACACCCTACCCAAAATGGAATAGTGTCTGCTTGCCTTTTTTGCCTTTGCCTTTCTTCCCTCCAGCTGACGACGACTCCCCGTAGTCATCCTCGGGCCCGTTCGCAGATGCGGAACCGCTTCCGGAGGACGATGCCCAAGCATTGACCGGTGGGGGTCGTCGATCGTCCCATCGAACTGTCCCGCGAGTGAGGCCCGCCATGAGGACGTTCGGCTTCGGCGCTGCGGGGAGAGCCGGGAATGCCTCGGAGTCATTTGTGTTCCGCACGGTGCGGGAGGGAGTAGGTGCCGGGTGGGAAGATGGGTTGATGGCGCTGGCCATGGTTCGAGCAGGAGTAGGGGCCGCTGCGGCCCAGGGTGTACCTGTTGCGGTCGCTCTAGAGGCAGAGCGGGCTGTAGAGGCAGAGAGAGGCGGGAAGGGGTTAGTGGATGAGGATGAGGATGTCGAGACGATAGAGCCACTTCTGCCAACAGCGGACCGGGAAGATTGTGCTGTCGATGACTTGAGCCGGAGGACACGCTTTCCACCGACACCGCTTCCATTTACTGTGCCGGGTGACATGCCTGGGATTTGGCCTCCTGGACCTGGTAAAGCGGGGTAGTCTTCATTGATCGCGCGCCAGTCGTTCCAGGCCTTCAGCAAGGCGTTGCGCTTGGATTCATCCTCGTAAATTTCCGCGAGCTCCTTGATAAGCTTTCCGAGTTCAGTACTAGAGGTATCGAATAAGGAGAAGAAAGCATCGATGAGCTCGGTGGGTGAAAGTGCCGACGTGCGGTATTGAGAGACTTTGGAACGGAAGTCTGCCAGCTTGCTTGCGTCGTTCCGGAGGAGGTTGGAGGCACGTTCAATTACAGCTGCGTGCCGCAGACGGCGAGCTTGATCCTGCGGAGTGGCAGGCCCAGACGCAGCCCCGACATTGAGAGCCTCCATTTCCGCAATTGGCGGGCCGGCGGGAGCTGTTCGAACCGGTGTTGCAGCGCCAGACCTGGCTGGCGCGCGAACAGTCTGAGTATCATTGCGAGTGAGCTGGCCGCCAAAGCTGCGGGTAGAAACAGACTGTGCGCTCTGGATAGCCATCTGTCGCTGATAAGCCATCTCATCTCGCCTTAATGGCTGGGCGCTTGATACTGGCAGGGGATCCGCATTCGGATCACGGCCGCGACCAGCACCACGGCGTTGTCTCTGGGGTTGATAAGGTGCTCTCAGGTCAAAGTCTGATAGATCTACCGTCCGCGCGTCTCGTCTAGCATCCTTGGAGAGTCCGTTGGGGTGGCACTCCAGCTGGTGGGCTTTCAGGTCCATCTGTGACTCAAAAACGACGAACTTCTTCTCTAAACACTCTTTGTCCAGGCAGAGGAAATGATCCTTCTGGAAATGATCCTCAAGGGCGTTGTAGTCAATGTAGTACTGCTGCTGCCGACTCCCCGAACGGCGGTCGCATATGTGGCACCTCTCATGACGGTCACGACAGTGCGCGTAGAGTTCGTCATCGCCGTAGAATCTCTTGCGGCAAAATCCACATTCGGGATGTCCTTTGAAACCACTTTGATCCAAGGCACCTGGCACATCATCACCGTACTTCTCGTGTTTGCGCAACTCTGCCATAGTGAAAAGTTCATGCTCATGCGTGAAGACCTTCTTGTTCCGAGTGCAAAGATCGCTGAATAATCGTTAGCAGCCCTTCTATCAACGCGCGCAACAACTCTGAGTATATACCACATCACTTTGCCATGCTTGCTCTTGACGTGACGATGCAGGTCAGGCCAACCCAAGCAAGCCACATCACAACTCCTGTCAGGGCAGTTGTACCGCAGCAGTAATACCGTGTCCTCGAAAATGTCATTATTCTCGTATTTGATTCCCAGATTATCATCTTTCTGAGAGAAATCCGCATCCGTGAAATCCTCATATCGTTTTGCCGGATCGTCCGTGAAAATTACATAGCTGGACTCGGTCTGGCCAGAAAACACACACGTTAGCGGACATTGGAGAGGAACATTCGGCCCATATGACGAAACACACCCTACAATGCGCACAAGCCTTGTTCTTATACAATGCTCGCAGTCTCAAAGCACAGATGTGACAAGTCCGGTGATTGCACGGCGAAACCGAGCTGTGTGCGACGTTCGACGCACAAATGAAGCAGATCTCGCCATCGTCCGCATCGTCCGTCTCCGCTGCAGCTACCTGCTTCCCTTCACCTTCTTCCGCCAGTGGAGCGCCTTGCGAGGGTGTTTCCGCATTAGCCTCCGGCGTTGCGTTCTCATCAGCGGCCTGACCCGGTCTGGCACTGCGGTTCTGCTTATCGCGTCCCCCGCCTCCTCGTCTGGGTCCCTGACCGCGGGATCGTGGACCCCTCCCAGCACCATCGGCCGGACGCTGTGCGCCTTCGGTCTGTCCTGTTTGATGAGAGAAACCTCCTCGGCCGCGTCGTCGGTTACCACCACGGTTCTGGCCTTGCGATGGGGTCGCTCGGGGCTGCTCGGTTTCAGACATGACGACAGCTGGCCAAAGTGTTATTGAGGACCTTGGGGTGAGAAGGATGGGGCAATGCCCGAGAGGGAAACGTAGATTTTAAAGGGCACGGCTATCCACTTCGAATACGCGACGAACGATTGTCTGGGGCGTGCTGCGGAGAATTCTTTTGAATGCGGGCTGTCTGTATTCTGCGGTGGGGGTGTGCGCGGCGGGCAAAAAGTTGCGCTCACTGCTTAGTTATCACCAAGCTTCTGAGAATATACACGCGGAGTACGGAGTAGCTGATCCTTCGTTGACAAACCTTCCGAGTCAACTGGCAGATTCGTCGAGAATAAGATTCAATCTCTCTACTGTCTACAGCGCGCTTAGGGCATATTATATAATTTTGCAGCTGGCAATAATTCCTGGTCCACTATCATAGTGGCCACAGGGGTTTTTTGGCGGACAAATACTAAAATCAAATATTAAATGACTCATGATGATTCGTCCTATGAAGCTATGGAAAGCTATCGACTATCAATGTCTAGCAGACATCCTCCGTCAAGTACTGTGTTGCGAAGGCAGCACCAACTCCCGCTGGAGAAACATATGAAAATGAGCATGGGCAGTCAAATCGCCAATGAGAGTAAGTATAAAAATTGAAATCGAACGGGTAGCGCCTGGAATCCAATGCGATATGCTGGAGAGGCAAAGAAACAGGATATGAAAAGAAAACAAATGTTCAGTATGCTGGTCATGGGTAGCAATGGCCACGCTGCAGTTGAAGCGGAAAATATCGTCGTGTATCGGTCGTATAAATGAATGACTATTCGTCCGGGCTATACAGATTTTGATTGAGGATCTTGGTCATCGTGAACATGTGTATGCGATCTTGTTTGAAAACAGCGCGCATGGCGTCGTCGCAACGGATTTGACGTCGGTCGTTTGGATCTTGTAAATCGTGTTCACGAATATACTGCCAGAGTCTCTTTACTGTTTGAGGACGAGAAAGCTGCTAAACGATTAGTAGAAGTTCCAGGGTTCAGATAAGACAGGATCGCCGTGTGAGGAATAGCGTACCGTAGTCTCGCCGTCCAGCAATGCTGAAAGCGCCGGCGACAGGTTCAATGGTTTCTGTCTGATTGTCAGTCGAGACTGACATCCTAGATGAAGTGCTGGAAACTCACGTGAAAACCGCCAGATCGGTTCACTTCCTTCTTTGTTTCAGAGCCTGAATCAAGATCCGAATCGTCCTCCGCCTTGACTTTCTTGGATGTTTTGGCCTTGGTCTTCTTCTTCACTGGTGCCGACCTACGAGCACTGGCACCTCTAGTCGGCCGAGCCCGCATGTTCTCCTCTGCTTGTAATTTGGCAGCATAGAGGGCATCTGCGTCGATATCGTGGTCGGGCTTCTTCTTCTTTGCCGGGGGTGTTTTGCTTGATGGATCGGACTGGTCATCGCTCTCCGCTTGACGCTTCTGAGGGGATGAGGACGGAGCAGGAGGTGAGGGCTCCGCAGGCGTTACTGAATCATGGTTCTGTGCTTGACCGTTGGAAGTAGGGGCGGTCGATGATGCAGCCGCATCAGAAGACCCTCCAATGCCGCTTTGTCCCGCGAATATATCGAACCTTTTCATGATAAGCTGCTTAATCGCAGCCTATATTAACAACGCGCGTTAGCAGAAATTCTGCAGTGCCCAGGGTGGGCCAATATTGAGGGGGGATAATTTGCGACAGAGTCGAGGACGGCGTTACGGACCTTCTGAGGAGTGAGATCATAGCCGACTACTTCCTGAAGGCCTTTGCGGATGCGCTTCTCGGAGATGGTATTCAGGTCGCTTTTTGCAAGAATTGAATCTATGACCTCTGTGTATCGGGCCTCAACGTCGGGGGATACTGTCGCGCAAGGCATGATGTCAGTAAAGACCGAGTTCGGAGCATATACAAAACACAGAATGGTGATCTTACGCGACATGTCGTCCAAGAGCTTCGATTTCTTATTTATCCACAGACGCAAAGCTGGCGAAGTTAGAATTGAGGTTGGAGAAATCGCTACAGGTCGAAAGTAAGTGTTGATGAGAGTAGAGTGAGTCCTATGGGTATCGCAATGGTGATAGTTGAGCTCGTCCAGATCTAAGCGGTCACTCACTTGGCGCTTAGGACCGGCGGGGCATAAGAAACGGAGATAGGTACCTATATCTAGGGAGACAGGACGGGACGAGAAGAGGCATATAAGTCTTTTATAAACAAAGACAGGATGAAGACAGTTCACCCCACAACAAGCGAGTATTCAACCTGCAGCAGCAAAGAAGTCCGGGATGATGCGTTGGTGTTGTTGCTCTTCCCCAGTAATAGTAGAAGTAGTACCTTAGAGAAGCGTAGAGCACTGACGAATCTTTAAGGCGTACTTCCCTCTCCGATCGATGTATGTACCTTACGAGAATAATACCACCTCGGTCTAGAACTATGCCGAATGAGGAAATCATGCATGAAAGCCCAGCCTGAGCCCAGCTGGGGCAGACGATGAGGTAAGCAGGCACGTGACTTGAGAAAAGTGCTGAGTCAGCACAGCGCACACAGAAGCGGCTGCGCTTGGGATTTGCTCTTTTTGCCCTAAAATCGAAGGCCAGCCAAAACGGGGTTGACCAGCAGAAAATTAGACAAGACCTCATCCTCGATATTCCCACCTCCCCATCGCCTTCGCTCCACCGTCCCCCCGGTCACGAACAGCCATGGCGCCCAGTTTCGATACTTTGTCTGAGCAGGACCTCCACGAAGAGGAGGAGGAGGAGATTGACTTCTCCGGTGAGTGCGACTGTTTTGGGTGGACGTTTTCTCGCTCTGTTGCCCCTCCTGGCTAACACGGCTCTTTGTCCGACATCCAGATCTCAAGGCGCAATATGAAGTGAAGCTCGAAGAGGGTTTGGATACATTCGTTGTGATCGATGGACTCCCGGTTGTGCCCGAGGAAAGCAGACAAAAGCTCATCAAGTTCTTGTTGAGGAAACTCAACACGGTGGGCCACACGTCTGAAGATGCGGTCTTTATGCCCCTCAACGACAAGAACATGTCCGAAGGGTATGTAAAGGTGGAAGAACACGGAGTTGCAGCTCGGGTAATTAACCTTTTACTTTCTACAGATATGCCTTCGTCGAGTTCGAGACCCCCGAACAAGCCGTCGCCGCGGTCAAGCAGCTGCACGGCACTCCCCTTGACAAAAAGCACACCCTTCTCGTGAACAAATTAATGGATATCGAACGCTACGGTCGCGAAGGGCGCATCGACGAAGAGTACAAGCCCCCCGCCATCGAGCCTTTCAAGGAGAAGGAGCATCTCCGCTCGTGGCTTGCGGACCCCAACGCGCGTGATCAGTTTGCCCTTCACCGTGGAGACAAGGTGGGCGTTTTCTGGAACAACAAGAACAATCCGCCCGAGAATGTCGTCGACCGTGCGCACTGGACGCAGCTTTTCGCCCAGTGGTCTCCCAAGGGTACTTACCTCGCATCCGTTCACCCTCAGGGTGTTCAGCTCTGGGGTGGTCCCGCTTTCTCGAAACAGAAGCAATTCCCCCATCCTTTCGTCCAGCTCATCGAGTTCTCGCCCGGTGAGAGCTATCTGACGACCTGGTCCGCGCGCCCCATTCAGGTTGAGGAGGGCCAGTCTATTTTGACTTACGAGGAGGAAGGAAAGAACATTATCGTGTGGGATATTGCGACTGGAAAGCCTCTGCGTTCCTTCGTCTCTCACGATCTCACTGCTGGTCCTGCGGGAGACGCCGAGCCCAAGAAGAAGGTGCAGTGGCCTGCATTTAAGTGGTCTGCCGATGAAAAGTACGTCGCTCGCATGCTACAGCACCAGTCCATTTCGATCTACGAGCTTCCACGAATGAACTTGCTCGGAAAGACATCGGTGAAGATCGACGGCGTCATGGACTTTGAGTGGTCACCCGCAACTGTGACTCGGGAGGGCGTCAAACAATACGAACAGTTGCTCTGCTTCTGGACTCCTGAAATCGGCAGCAGCCCCGCCAGAGTTGCCATGATGAGCGTGCCATCAAAAGAAATTGTACGAACACGTAATTTGTTCAATGTTTCCGACGTCAAGCTTCACTGGCAGTCCCAGGGTTCGTATGTCTGCGTGAAGGTGGATCGACACTCGAAATCGAAGAAGTCCATGGCCACCAACCTCGAGATTTTCCGGGTACGCGAGAAGGGTGTCCCTGTTGAGGTTGTTGACAGTCTCAAGGATACTGTGATCAATTTCGCTTGGGAGCCCAATGGCAATCGATTCGTTCTCATCACAACCGGCGAGGCTGTCGCTGGTGCTGCTGTTGCACCCAAGACCGCCGTGTCGTTCTTTGCCCCTGAGAAGAAGGGCGGAGCAATCGGTAACTTCAAGCTCATCCGCACCATTGAGAAGAAGAACAGCAACGCGATCTACTGGTCGCCTAAGGGTCGTTTCGTTGTCGTTGCTACCGTTCACTCCCAGACCAGCTTTGACATGGACTTCTGGGACATGGACTTCGAGGGAGAGAAGCCCGAAGCCGAGAAGGACTTTGCCGCCAACCTTCAATTGATGAAGACTATTGAACACTACGGTGTGACGGATATCGACTGGGATCCTACCGGTCGTTACGTCGTCAGCAGTGCTAGCGTGTGGACACACCAGGTAAGAAGCCTTTACCATCTTTTTCATCGATATCTGTAACATTGCTAACTTACCTCCTCTTCTAGTTGGAAAACGGCTGGAACATGCACACTTTCGCCGGTCAGACCCTCTCCGAAAACCCCACAGACAAGTTCAAGCAATTCCTCTGGCGCCCTCGCCCACCCACTCTTCTCAGCAAGGAGGAGCAGAAACAAGTGCGCAAGAACCTTCGGGAATACTCCAAGGAGTTCGACGAGGAGGACAGATACGCCGTCGATATTGCCAACACAGCCGTTGTCGAGAAGCGCAAGCGGGTTCTCAACGAGTGGGTTGCCTGGATTCGCCGGGAGAAGGAGCTCCTTGCCGAAGAGAAGGACGCCTACGGTCTCCCC